GTAGCCACAACTTAATTATCTCATTCCCACGTCTTACTAAGTCATAGCCACACATTAGGATCTTGTTCCCACGCCTTACTAATGATCTCATTCCCACGGCTTACTAAGTTGTGGGCATGACTTAATTATCTCATTCCCATGCCTTACTAAGTCATAGCCATGCATTAGGATCTTGTTCCCATGCCTTACTAATTATCTCATTCCCACGCTTTACTAAGTCGTGGCCACACATTAGGATCTCATTCCCACGCCTTATTAAGTCGGGGCCATGCATTAGGATCTCATTTCCATGCCTTACTAAGTCGCTGCCATGACATAATTATCTTATTCCTATGCCTCATTAAGTCATGACCATGAATTAAGCTCTCGTTCCCACGCCTTACTAAGTCGTAGCCATGACTTAATTATCTCATTCCTATGCCTTACTAAGTCATAGCCACGCATTAGAATCTTGTTCACATGCCTTACTAATTATCTCATTAGCTTCATATATTCACATATTCTGTGACAACTTCTTACCAATATGTGAGATAAGTTGTGTACTTTTTTGGACTCTTTATCTAGAACAAAAAGGTTCTATCTCCAAAGTCTAACTCTAACATAGTTGTATAAGGTTCTATATGTGAACCAATCAGCCTTTCAAATACACTCAAGAGGACCAATCAGGTTCTGTTTCTTTGTCATGCTGCCGCTCTGCTCACTAACAGCGGGAAAAGTCCATAAAAACATTTTATAAAACATGAAAACATGTCAGCCTGTGTTCTTGCAGTTCTTTAAATAGTCTTCTTGTCTTAAATTTTATAAATATTAAGCCTTAAACATAAGTAAATATTAAAAATTTTAACTGATGGGCTCTTAATTACAGCATAAACATTAATTTCATTCATTCATCCATCTTTTCTTTTTCTTCTTTCTCCCAAAATAAGACATTTTGGCTCATTAGAGTCACATTTCTGATATAAAACTAAACCTCATACTGCCTTTAGACTGACCTGCTACACTGACCTGCTGGGACAATTCATTACAGTAGCTGTTTCTGTTTAAATAAAGGGAACTTAAATTGTCCTAAAACAAGAAATAAATGTCTTTAAAAATGAACTGATAATGTAGACACTGTTAGAACACTAATTTTATGTTTTAAATAAAGTGTTTGTGTGCCTTGAAAACTGTTGCTTCTTTTCAAGTTTTGTCAGATAAAACCTTATAATTCCAAGCAGAAAGTAAATTCTTAGGATTAGAAGGTTCTATCTGCATTTAACCTGTTTCAAAAAACTCATTTACAAATTTTATAGGAATTTGATGTTGTACATTTAGAATAAATTTAGGGTGTTTGTCATTTTCATGTATTAAAAAGACATGTTCACATATCAGTTTTGCTATTTAGAATGGAAAATCTTCAGAGCTCAATATTTCAAAACTGCTCAGACTGCAGACAGAACCTTATAATTCCAAGGGGACAAAGTCTCATCTTAAATTAGGAATCTTATCTTACAGCATCTTATCTCCATTTAGGAAATCTTAACCTACTCGATCGAAGTCAACAATCAGCTGTCATGTCTGTTTTCTAACAACCCACCATACACACACAGCTGAAATGTACACACGTAATCAAAATAATGTTAAAATGTAAGTTACAGCTGCTGTTACTGATATAAAAAGTCAGACAAATCTAAAGTGTGATAAACTATAAGTTGTGAATACTGTGAAAGTGCTGTGAGAATACTGTGAGAGCGCCCCCTGCTGTCAACATTAACACACGAAGGTAATAAGAGGGGATGGTGGAGATCGTATCTGCAGAGTCTGAAATTTTTTTAAAAAGTGAAAGCAGCGTTTTACAGTATAAATAAACGTAGCGTCATTATGCTAGTAGTGAACTATGCTGCCTGACACAGCTTAACGAGTAACCTTTTTGAAAGACTTTATGATTTAACTATTATTATTTGTATTTGCCCCATACTTTGAGCATTTTGATAGCATTTTTCTTGTGGATTTTATTATTTTATTTAAAACTTTTGACATGAAATTAACTCCATAAATTAATACTGTTTGTTTTGTTTTGTGTCACTGATGGATAAGGTTACTTAGCCAGCTAGCTCAGTAGACTTAGCAGATAAAATCAATGTAGAACCTCTTATATTTATCTTTTGTCTCATCTCATTATAGCACTGTTTGTCACATGCTGTTTGATGTGAAAAATAAATTTAGCCTGTTGTCATTGTTCATGTTTTGTATATGCTGCTTAAAATTTCAGCACCTTTAACTTAAAACAACTTCCTGCATCCCTGGATATCACAGAGTGATACTTCAGTACAGCCTTTAGTGCTGAACGCTGTTCACCAAATTCAAACAAAAGCCTGAACTGCGTTCACACCAGCAGGCGACACCATTTGTAGCTGCGATTTAGCGAGAAGCAGCAAGCAAGACAGCAGCAGAGCACTGAGCGACAAGTCAAGTTGAGAGTTTCTCAAATTAATGCAAATCAATCATGACAAAGTGAAGTCATATTCTAAATTATTGCCTCCAACAAATTCTTTGGACCCATCATAGACACGGGGTTGCGAGGTTCCCAGCTTCTACTCTCTGAACTATTTGTTTCAACTGGTGTTCTGTTCCTGTTCTCTTTGGTATGGTGCTAATTATAAAAGAGAGACTCAAAATCGCAGTTTTTTCCTTCTCCATTCTGTATGAATGGTGGCATTTTCAAAGCAAATCAATACCAGCTATTGCCAAGAGTCTAGCCAGCTGGCTCAAATCCAGTTTTTTTATCTAGATTGTATACAGATTTTTCATAGCCTTGACAGCAAAAAATTAAAACCCATGAAATCTGGCGACTCCTATCAGATTTTTACAGATGCATGTCAGTCTGGATGCTCTGTATGCTCAAATCGGATTTTAAAGTGTCTTTTGTGTCACTTGCAACACAACAAACAACGACAATGTCAAATGCAAGTGCTGGGATTCAAGAAGAGCTCCAAATTATGAAGAGAATTCAGAAGAGTTTGGAGGGCGAGATGATGTACCTCCATCTAAATCTGCATCACCAGTGTAGCTACGTAGTTACTGACGCCTGGTGATATCTGGACACGCATATCTGATCTGATCACATGCAAATCAAAAGATCTGATTTGAGAAATCAGATTTTTCACTCACAGGAGACAAACTCGGGGTGACATAAGCGTCTTATCGCCTGCTAGAGTGAACACAAGAAACAAGCAAGTGTTAGAAAAGATGACAACCTATTAGATACAGGATCATATTTATATCATATTCATATTATAAAAACAAGCAGTTTCTTTTTGCAAAATAACCCATGTAAGCATTTTCCTAGTTCCACAAGGTTCAGTTTTAGGGCCACTTCTTTTCTCATTGAAAATGCAACCTCTAGGAAGTGTGACTCTCTGTGGACAGGCTAGTAGATATTCCTCAGTGGACATTATGACTTGTTTGCAGCTTAATCAGGAAAAATATAATGATATTTGGTACTAAACCTGAACAAAAACTGATTTGTGAGAAATAAGGTCTATTTCTGTCATTATGCTTCTAAAGTGTGCAATTTGTTACCTTTTTTGCAACCTGAAAACACATCTTTTGTGTTTAGCTTTTATTTAAAATTATAGTGCAATTTACGTAATTCTTTTTCCTTAGTTATCTTTTCATTTTAACTATTTTCTCTTTTTTTACTTTATTGCTATTTTTATCAAGTATGTTCATAAACTTGCTTTTCACTGTAAAGCACTTTCAGCTGATACATCAATAAAAAGTTCTAAAAAAAGTTATTTTTGTTATTATTATTATTATTATTATTATTAGTAGTAGTAGTAGTATTATCCTACTTTTATCATACTTTTCACTGATGATAACATGGATGTAAAGAGTGTTATTAGACATTTAACACCTGCACATTATTATTAAAAATATGGTATATTTTTTAAAAACGTTTAGACTCTCACAGTATTGTAAACATATTGTTGGTATTGAAAAAAACATTGTCTACTCGAAAATTAAGAACTTTATAGAAGGAAAAAACCTGAACTTGTAAAGGACATTAATGCAAAAATGAAATTTGCTAATATATATAAATTTTCCAAGAGTCCATTTTGGAGCATTGCAAAGGGCAGCTTGTGTTTACAAAATACGTCAAAATATATATATATATATATATATATATATATAAAATAACAAATATGAAGATACGACATGTTGTCCCACTAGTGATGATATACAAGATATAAACACAACAGGACATTCACAATGTGCAGCCGAATCGAATAATCAAATAGTCCAGATAAAAGCGCACATACTGACATATGATTACTACAGTTTACTGTCTTATAAGTCTTCTCTTCACTACACTGCTTAAAGCATTTCACACTGTGTGAATTTTCATGATAAATGGTCCAACATGAATGATCTAGAACAACTTCAAATAAAATCTCTTTGCATGAAAACACATGAAAGAACTTCTCCTGAAAAGTTCCCCTTTCAGAGAGTCGAGGTTTTGTTACAACAGCGACAATATGTTTTTATTCTTATTTACACAAATGAAAGCACACTTTAAAAAGTCACACCTTGAACAGTGGTTACGTGTTCTAGCAGAAAACCTGAGTTTAAAGTGAGTTTAACAGCTTCTCCTCGACAAAGAGAGAGAACGCTCCGAGTCTTTCATGAAAGCTCCACATTGTCTGTGGCCTGGTGTGCTGGTGCTTGGGGGGGGTGGGTGGGTGATCTTGTTTAGTGAGAAATCTGGATCTAATAAACAAAACGACAATTTCAGGAAAACCTGCAATGAAGCAACAGAAGATTGGCCAATCAATTCATCCTCACCCCTTATCACACCCACAGATTTCCCTTCCACCAATCACAGAAGATGCCGTCTTTTCTGTTTTCCTTCAGGCAAGGTGGAGTCCAGAGCCTTTACTTTCATCCAATTGCAAACCGTAGTGGGCGGGGCTTGTGAAGACCTTGCTTCTGGCCTTTATAAAATTGCTGGAAACCAGATGTTGGGACCCACATATGCTAAAGAACATATTTGAGAGGGGCAGAGAGAACGTGTGCTGAATATAGGTCCTTGAGGTTCTTAAGCACAGAAAGGTATTGTAGTTTTTTATTCTTTTTTTTGTGAGTCTGGATATAAAGATTGATCTTTTTTAAATCAAACATCTAACTGATATCTATGTTTACGTCTTAGAAGGAGATAAGACACAAGAAACCAAGACGTGGATCGGGAACGGTCCTGGAGAAACAGGAGAACCAGGAGAACTAAGAAACTAAGACCAGGATCAAGAACAGCACTGGAGGACCAAGAGGAGGTAAAAGGCTAAGAAACAAAGACGTGGATCGAGAACAGCATTGGAGGACCAGGTGAACCAAGAAAGTAAGGCCAGGATTAAGAACAGCTTTGGAGGACCAGGAGAACCAAGAAACTAAGGCCAGGATCAAGAACAGCACTGGAGGACCAAAAGCAGATAAAAGGCCAAGATACTAAGAAGACGTGAATTGAGAACAGCACTGGAGCATCAGCAGAACCAACAAACCAAGACCGGTATCAAGAAGAGCATTGAAGGACCAGGAGAGCCAAGTAACTAAGACCAGGATCAAGAAGAACATTGGAGGAGATAAAAGACAAAGAAGGGCACTGGTGGATAAAAAGGCCAAGAAACCAAGAAAAAATACCAAGAAACCAGGAAGAGCACTGGAGCACCAGGAGACGACAGTAGTCAGGGACAGGAAGCCATTTGCCATGAGAGAAGAGGAGACCTGTGGTGATTTCCCAGAAGGTGGGGTGCTTCCCAATGAAGACGAAGCAGAACGTCGCCCCAATAAATGCCCCGTCGTCGTTGCTCCTCACGGTTCTGGTGGACGAAAGCGGCTAACCAGCCCCAAGAAAGAAGTCACTGCCCAACTGACACCTGACGATAAAACCGGATCTGAGGGAACATCTACCTTCGCCCCCTCTGGCCCGAAGCGGCCCAAAAAGAGCTCTCCTTCATCTTCTTCTTCATCATCGTCCTCGTGTTCCTCGCTAGTGCCAGTGATCAGTGCAGGTTCGCCACTTCCTGGTCAGTCTTTCGAAGACGTCCACTCTCAGAGAGTCATTGCTAACGTCCGAGAAAGGCAGCGCACACAGTCGCTGAACGACGCCTTTGCTTCTCTGAGGAAGATCATCCCGACCTTGCCCTCGGACAAGCTTAGCAAGATCCAGATTCTCAAGCTAGCATCGCGCTACATCGACTTCCTCTACCAGGTGCTTCAGAGTGACGAGATGGACGCCAAACTGGCCAGCTGTAACTATCTGGCCCACGAGCGGCTGAGCTACGCCTTCTCGGTCTGGAGAATGGAAGGAGCTTGGTCCATGTCTGCTAGCCACTAGCCGCTAGCTGGCTAATTTTAATAAGAAACTCATCAGATCTACCAACTTCAGTGCTCTGCTTAAAAATTGACTGTTTGGTCCACTTGTTGGTTCTTCTCTCTTCGCTCTCTGACTGCCATTAGCCTGATTACACGCCCAAGGAACCTTCAGCTGACCCCGACGACCTTTCCTACACTCAACTTCCCAGTACTTCTGACCTTTAACCTTCATGCTCCTGTCCTCTTCAGGTTCTCAGCACACACCCCTACAGGTACGTGGGATCAGCAGATGCTTTACATATTCCACATTGGAATATTCCATATTCCTAAGTGTTTTTGTATGGGTTAATATTAATATTGGATTAGTATTTTGTGTAATATATGTTTCATTTCAATCATTTCATAATTGCAAGTTCATTTCATAGTTTGTTTGGTTTTACGTGCTAAAAACCTGAAAAAAAAATCACTTCAGCCAATTTTGTGTCCACTAGCTAAACTGAAATACTCACTGGTCGTTATTAATGTTTTACAGACCCAATTAAGGCTTCTCCTTCTTTTTTTGGTGCTTTTTTTTGGTTGCAGTAAATTTTATTTGTTCTACACTAAAAAAGCCTTTCTAAAAGCCTTTTAATCTTGCAAAAAAAAACTATTTAGAATTTTGAGAAATGTAAAACAGAAAAGTTATGATAAGTGAAGATTATGCAAGATTTCTAGGCCAATATGCAAACGTAAGCAAATTTGTGACATTCGTCCAAAAAAAAGTATTTTTTATTTTGACTCTACTTCCACTGCTGCTTGTGTTCAGGTGCATTTGATCTGCTCATCAGAGGCTTTTGCACAAACTTGTGAAGTCCGGCTCGAGTGCAAGCTGTCACTGAAGCAAAAGAAAGAGAAATTCTGATATTCATGAAAATTTTTCAAAGATCCTACTTTACGCTCTAACTTTAAATTATGTTGATGAAATAAGTTGTAATAAAAGCATTGTATTAAATTAAAAACAGAAACACAGTAGAAACATTTTCACTACTGATCTTAGACTTTTAGACTCCACTGGTATATATATCGCTGCTGTTGGAACAAAACCTTGTATCTCTATTTTTGTCATTTTTCAGTTTTTGACAAAATTTGAAAATGCCTGTTGTTCATTACATTGTGTATACATTTTCATGATAAATGGACCAAAAGAAACAGCCCAAAATGACTTGGAAAAAAGTCTGGTTCCATTGACTTACATTGAAAGTAAAGTAGGTTTTTTCCTTGATTCGTAAAATAGTGATACATTATGCTAAAGTGCACTTTATGCTGCACTGTAACATTTCATTAATGCAATAGAGAATATAACTAGTTAATGTCTGATTAATTTACATTCAGCTAGACTGATCTCTGGCACTCTTCACTGGTCGTATATTTCTGTTACAGAGCCACAATTTCTTTCTACACAATTTCTTTCTTTCTTTCTTTCTATTTTTGCATTGCATTTAACTCGACCAGTGCTCTAATCCTCAGCCTGTGCACAGAGGAATAAGACTAAAGATAAAAACAAACTTCAGGATGAATATTCTGGTTTCAGAAAGTGTATGACTGGATGGATCATGTGGAAAATAGTGCATGTTACAGCTCTGGAGACTGTAGAACAATCCTGAAGGCAGCATTAAATAAAGCAGTTTTCACCAAAACTAAGTTTGTCTTCAGCTGCAACGCGATGGAGACGTTACAAATAAACTGTTTAAATTCTCATAAAGTGTTGAGTATTGAATGGATTAACAGTACAGGACTTTATAATACTGGCCTCTACACTGATGATTAATTCACTGAAGAAAATCACTGAAGGAAATATATCAGGAGATCATATTACATAATATATACGTACTAATTTTATGTCTTTATCTAATTAATAACTGTGATAAGAATTTGCCACATAACTGAGGCCAGTGGGAAATTTTGTATAAACACATGGTAAATAACTGTGAAACTTATAGGAGAGTAATATGAACACATACAGTTTTGCTACACTTCTACTGTAAATCCAGAGCCAACATTAGCATTAATTCAAAGCCATAAATGATATTATTACAATCAGGTTTTCTTAGTGGTCAGAAAGGTGACCGCTGTAAAAGATAACAACACAAAACTGGAAGAAAGTAAGTATTTAATCAACATACTGATAAGATTATAATTAGTTATTTAATATTTAATATATGAATGTTTTCTTGTCACAGCAATTTTAAGAGTTTTCTGTTTATGTTGTAATTATGTATGACATAATTATAATAAAGCAGTATAATATATATAATTATAATCAAAAAAATAAGTAATAATCTTTTTGTAACTGCTTTTAATATCATTTTAATATCATTAATATTCTGTTTGCAATTTACTAAATTCAACATTTACCTTATAATAAGTATTATTCAACATTTCAGTCTTTAAAGACCAGAAGAGTAAGAGTTCAGTCTGATATCTTATATATATGGTTAAATTATGAGGCATAAAATGATGGACTGCAGTAGAAAAATCAATGCAATGATGCAATATTTTTTATGTATACATATAAAGGTGCATGTGACAGAAAAATGTAACCCTTCACTACATGAATTATAAATAAAACATGAGAAAAAACAGTTTTTATGATTTTTCTTGTTAAAAATAATACAATTAATAGAAATGTCTTCCAAAAAAACAAAGGGGTTTTGAAGGGTTATTTTGTATTCTGTTGCCATATGGCAACAGCATGTGCCAATGGAACTGCAAACAACTGGTTTTATTCAAAAAATACTTCGAAACTCATCAAATGAAACAACGCGAAGCATAATAAATAATTTAGATGAACGAAAGCGATGTTTTACATCAACTGAAACCTCAAAAACACTTTTTACTGCATAGGACATTCATCATGCAGACATGGAAAAAAACATGGTGCTTAACAGCCATATGAATTAGAGTCTTACAAATACAAAAAAAAAAATTAAATGACTGACTAACTAAATAAATAAATAAATAAACAAATGAATAAATAAATACATATTGCTAAAATTATAAACTTGGTTAGAAAGTTAGAAATAGCACTGTCTGATATGTGCAGTGGCTGCGTATTCATTTACCATCATTTTATGCAGATTGCAGGTCTGTTGTCACATATGGCAACAGTTACATTTTATCATGTTATTTAAACCTCACAGCATCTAAACTGGTTTCTTTTATGAAAAGGAAACTTTATGAAAAGGATATTGTGTTTCAGTTGTTTCCTGTAGTGATTTGGATGAATATTTGTGAATGGTATTTTCTTAGAGTGCTGCAGATGCCCGGCCTCACCATGTGATATGTGAAAAAAACAAACTATAATAAAAAATAAAGAACAATGTACAGGTTGCAACAGGGGGGCATGTGATCAGATAAGCGTACACCATTTTACACATAAGTGTTGAATTTCCCAAAGGAGAAATTGACCTCTATATTGTAGTTAATCAAAAAAAACATTTTTTTTAATTGTTGCCATGTGGCAACGGCATGCAGGCAAGGGTTAAATCTGCCTAATTTCGCTCTTACTGGCTCACATCTGAACTAATGAAGCCAAAATCAGGGCTTCCTCTTCCTCCTTTTCACATTTCTTTCTTGCATTATATATTCAATTCTCTGCCGAGCGGGTGAACACAGTAATATAACAGCCTGTCCCCCGAGAACAGATCAGAAACAGTTTCAGGATGAATAATCGCTGCTCTGAAACATGTCTGGTTTCAGATTATGATCTAATAATAGCTGGTGCTGCTTGTTATTTGCTGAATACAGTTTATTAATCTGTAAATCTGTATCCTGTCTGTATCAGCAGCATCAGAAAAAACGTCCTGATTAATAACCTGATAGTTGTGTTGTTGATGTACAGCAACTACAAACAGTCACATCAGTAATAACTTATGCACAACTGAAACCTCTGAAAAGCCCTCAGTGCACATTTTTGCTGTTATTTATTTAAAAAACATAATCATTAGTTCTGTGGAAAGCAGAGTGAGGGATGTATAGGAAAATGAAATATACTAATTAACATACAATCGTGCAAATTCCATGTGTTGTTGATTTTCTAAGTGAATCAAACATCCTCAAAATTTAGAGGAAAACGGCAGCATGCGAGTAAACACAGTCATGCAAAAGTTTAGGCACCCCTGGTCAAATTCCAGGTTGTTGTTGATTTTCAGATTGAAAATTTAACACATGCTCTACAGGGACACACTTCAATATGACATATATACATGCTAATTTTAGTGCGCAAATTTTTAGCTCACAATTTGAATTTAAGATAATGAAAAAAATAAAGCAGAGACAGGTGTGTCAGGTGTTTTATTATTTTATGTTTATTTCCAGTATGTAAAATTTTACATTTTCTCTCTCTCTATATATATATGTGTGTGTGTGTGTGTGTGTGTGTGTATATATATATATATATATATATATATATATATATATATATATATATATATATATACATACAAAACCTTGTATCTCCGAAATGGTAACTTTACAGATACAGAACATTTTTCCAAGTCATTTTGGCCATTTATTTTGGTCGATTCATCATGAAATTTACACACAACGTAAAGGGCAAGAGCTATTTTCAATTTATGTCAAAAACTGAAAAACGACAAAAATTGAGATACAAGGACTTGTTCCGACAGCAGCGATATATATATATGTTTGTATGTATGTGTGTATATGTATATGTATGTATGTTTGTATGTATGTATAAATACACATTGAATATATATTGCATTTACATGCTTAAGGTGGAAAGTGAGAGAGCGGGAGAACAGAAAGGTGGAGAAGTTGGTCCTCTTTAGCAGCAGGGGTAAAAACACCCACCTGACTGCCCCCTAATACCCACAACCACTACCCCCCCCTCCACCCTCCTTCTTCAGCGATCTAGTGTGTGGTGTAATCAGAGCCTGCGGGCTCAGACAGGCAGGAACCGACTGATTAGAACCAGGTGTGGAGTTACCAAGGTGAGAGAGAGAGACAGAGAGAGAGAGAGAGAGAGAGAGAGAGAGAGAGAGAGAGAG